AGCAATAACTGTATGTCCATTTTAAACTACAATTCTCATAAATAGAAATTATATTTTGTAAATTATATGAATGAATACAAATAAATATAGAAAAGAGTGTATTCATACTTATATAGCAAAGCAAATCTTGTGGGCTTTTAGGCATATCAAAAAGGGAGGTAACATGATCATGGTTGCTGTAAAATCAGTATTTACTCTCATTATACAAGAATATCACCCAACAACATTCATTTAAAAGAACTTCACAACTTCTGAATAGCTAGATATTGCAAACTAAACTCATAAATATATTTTGATAGTTCGATGCAAGTTTCTTAATAAAAACTGTTCCAGTAAATAAATGACAGTTGAAAACTTGAATATACAAATGTTTCAATATTGTCAATAATAAAATTATACCTTTTATAAATATATAATCGTTGTGATTTGAACCTTTATTAAAAGAAATCTACAATACAACTGTTTCTAATCAGCTTTATTATGAAGAACACATACCTAAAATGAAAAGAGAAATTGATTTTCTTCTTTATTGAAATTGAGCTACAAATTCATTTCCTCTTCTTCTATTTCTTTCTATATTTTCTCAAAGACAGGGGTGTTTTAGCTTCAAGCACATAAAAGATATATAGAACACCAAATGCTTCAGTTTCAATATCTATAGTTTATTTATAACGAAGTAAAGATTGTTATATATTATTGCAGTTCAGGTCCAAGAGCTTTTGTTTCAATTTCTTTCGCTCGTTCATAAAAATCTTTTGCTTTTTCGTACTCTCCGATTTTACTGTAAACCAAACCCAGATTGTTGTACGTTGTCGCAATATTAACATGGCCAGGTCCAAATGTTTTCGTTTTAATTTCTATCGCTCTTTTGTAAAAACTTTTTGCTTTTTCGTACTCTCCCATTTTACTGTAAACTGAACCCAGATTGCTGTACGTTATCGCAATATTAACATGGTCTGGTCCAAATGCTTTTGTTTGAATTTCTATGGCTCGTTCATAAAAATCTTTTGCTTTTTTGTACTCTCCCATTTTACTGTAAACCGAACCCAGATTGTTGTACGTTGTCGCAATATTAACATGGTCAGGTCCAAATGCTTTTGTTTGAATTTCTATCGCTCGTTCATAGAAATCTTTTCCTTTTTCGTACTCTCCCATATTATCGTAAACCGAACCAAGATTGCTGTACGTTGTCGCAATATTAACATGGTCTGGTCCAAATGCTTTTGTTTGAATTTCTATTGCTCGTTCATAAAAATCTTTTGCTTTTTCGTACTCTCCCATATTATCGTAAACCAAACCAAGATTGCTGTACGTTGTCGCAATATTAACATGGTCAGGTCCAAATGCTTTTGTTTGAATTTCTATCGCTCGTTCATAAAAATCTTTTGCTTTTCGTACTCTCCCATATTATCGTAAACCGAACCCAGATTGCTGTACGTTGTCGCAATATTAACATGGTCAGGTCCAAATGCTTTCGTTTGAATTTCTATCGCTTCTTAAAAATCTTTTGCTTTTCGTACTCTCCCATGTTATCGTAAACCGAACCCAGATTGTTGTACGTTGTCGCAATATTAACATGGTCAGGTCCAAATGCTTTTGTTTGAATTTCTATCGCTCGTTCATAAAATCTTTTGCTTTTCGTACTCTCCCATATTATCGTAAACCGAACCCAGATTGTTGTACGTTGTCGCAATATTAACATGGTCAGGTCCAAATGCTTTTGTTTGAATTTCTATCGCTCGTTCATAAAATCTTTTCCTTTTCGTACTCTCCCATATTATCGTAAACCGAACCCAGATTGTTGTACGTTGTCGCAATATTAACATGGTCAGGTCCAAATGCTTTTGTTTGAATTTCTATTGCTCGTTCATAAAATCTTTTGCTTTTTCGTACTCTCCCATATTATCGTAAACCGAACCAAGATTGCTGTACGTTGTCGCAATATTAACATGGTCAGGTCCAAATGCTTTTGTTTGAATTTCTATCGCTCGTTCATAAAAATCTTTTGCTTTTTCGTACTCTCCCATATTATCGTAAACCGAACCCAGATTGCTGTACGTTGTCGCAATATAAACATGGTCAGGTCCAAATGCTTTCGTTTGCATTTCTATCGCTTCTTCATAAAAATCTTTTGCTTTTTCGTACTCTCCCATGTTATCGTAAACCGAACCCAGATTGTTGTACGTTGTCGCAATATTAACATGGTCAGGTCCAAATGCTTTTGTTTGAATTTCTATCGCTCGTTCATAAAATCTTTTGCTTTTTCGTACTCTCCCATATTATCGTAAACCGAACCCAGATTGCTGTACGTTGTCGCAATATTAACATGGTCAGGTCCAAATGCTTTTGTTTGAATTTCTATCGCTTGTTCATAAAAATCTTTTGCTTTTTCGTACTTTCCCATGTTATCGTAAACCGAACCCAGATTGTTGTACGTTGTCGCAATATTAGCATAGTCAGGTCCAAATACTTTTGTTTGAATTTCCATCGCTTGTTCATAAAATTCTTTTGCTTTTCTACTCCCCATTTTACTGTAAACAGAACCCAAATTGCTGTACATTGTCGCAATATTAACATGGTCAGGTCCAAATGTTTTCGTTTCAATTTTATCGCTCGTTCATAAAAATCTTTTGCTTTTCGTACTCTCCCATATTATCGTAAACCGAACCCAGATTGTTGTACGTTAACGCAATATTAACATGGTCAGGTCCAAATGTTTTCGTTACAATTTCTATCGCTCGTTCATAAAAATCTTTTGCTTTTTCGTACTCTCCCATATTACTGTAAATCAAACCCTGATTGCTGTACATTGTCCCAATACTAACATGGTCAAATCCAAATGTTTTCGTTTCAATTTCTATCGCTCGTTCATAAAAATCTTTTGCTTTTTCGTATTGTCCCATTTTACTGTAAACCAAACCCAGATTGTTGTACCATATCGCAATATTAACATGGTCAGGTCCAAATGATTTCGTTTCAATTTCTATCGCTCGTTCATAAAAATCTTTTGCTTTTTCGTATTGTCCCATTTTACTGTAAACCAAACCCACATTGTTGTACTGTATCGCAATATTAGCATGGTCAGGTCCAAATGCTTTCTTTTCAATTTGTATCGCTCGTTCATAAAAATCTTTTGCTTTTTCGTACTTTCCCATTTTACTGTAAACCAAACCCAGATTGTTGTACGTCGTCGCAATATTAAAATGGTCAGGTCCAAGTGTTTTTGCTTGAATGTCCATTGCTCGCTCGAGAAAATCTTTAGCATTTTCATATTCTCCATTCTTCCAGAGCAATAAACCCAGCTCTTTGTACGAATATGAAACATCAATATGATCAACACCTAACACTTTAGCTTGAATTTCTGTAATTTCGTAAAGTACTTTAGCTGCAAGTTTATAGTTGCGATATCTTTCCAGAACATCTACAAAATATTTGGAAAATTTCCAATTTCTTTCATCAAGTTTCTGTTTTCTAATGAAAAAAAAGAATGATTATATATCGATCAACTTATTTAGGAAATGTTGAAATGATGAATTTGTTATGAATTTAATTAGATGTGGAATTATTTTGATTTCATCTTCTCTGTCTTCAAAATGATTTAGTGCCCAAGCAACTTGACAGGCGTGATCAGCTGCAGACTTTTTATAACTATTTTCGTTTTGTTTCCAGCCAAAGGTCTCCGATGAATAATTAATGATGACTTCGTGCACAACGCTGTGCAGGCGGATATCGTTGTTTTCCGTTTGAAGGAACAATGAACAATGCTTTAATTCAAGACAGACATCTTCTGCAGATTTTTGTGGATCAATGCTTTTAATAAATGGTATTATAACACCTTGTGGTAAGGGATCAAAAGATATTATTGAGAAAAGTTTAAAAATATGTTCCAACAAGTTGGATTCTTCAGCATTTTTTTGTACTGCTAACATAACAGTTTTCATTCCTAAATAAGCTGAGTTTATTTTTTGAAAATTGCCATCCATTTTCTGTCGCCCTCCTTTATTCAACTTATCAAAATATTGCTGCCACGTGAATGTCGGATTTACACTTTTTACACTACCTACATAGTAAGCAGCATTTGCCAGGACCAACGGTTGACGATCTAATTTCTCTGATAAATCCTTTAAAAAATTTTCATCTTTATTATGAATATCAGAAAAGACAGATAGAAGTTCTCGACATTCTTCATTGTTCATACCATGACTAACTGAAATGTGTTTATTTAGATTTCCATCTGGTGGTACAGCATCTGTATTTTGGACAGTTACAATAATTTGACCATTTTTCCAGCTATGATCACCAACTTGAGGTAATAATGGATAAATTTTATAAAGTTCAACCACGTTATCTACAACAATCCACCATGTTTGCCATGATTTCAGTTGCTGTGTCAGCAATAATTGAAAATCTTTAATTTTATCTTCGCTAGAATATTTTCAATGACAGTTTTATCATCATTGCAAAGTTTTATTCATTTTTAGTGTCATCAATCATTTCATTCGTCTGGCTAATTGTTTACCACAGCCAGGATTACCAGAAATATAGTAATATGTTAGTTCATTATTGTTAGTACTGCGCAAGTTATTGAGATCTGCTGTGATTTGATTAAGTAACTCTGTATTTGGTTTTGCAAGGAAGTACTTGAAAAGAATTAAACTTGTTTCTTTGACTTTTTTTCATTAATTTCATTAAATGAAAATCCTAGATCTTTAAACGACTTTTCAATATCACAAAGCATCATTTGAAATTTGTTATCAGAAACTTTTCCTTTGTTTTCATGGATAAAGTTGTTTCTGATAACACGAAGTTTATCCACAGCAGCCTTAGATTTTGGGTCTAGTTTTGTTCCAACTGAGTTGGAAAACAAAATTGCTGCAAATAATGTCGTACAATCCCACTTACTGGTGTCACCATGCTGAAATTTTGTTATAATATGTTTGTCATGAGGTTTCTTCTTTGTTTTTTCAATATAGAACAACTTCATACCACTGACGTTTGTATTTTCCCATTCTCCGAGAGATTTTTTGTAATAAGTGTTCCACTTTTGGATAAAAAGATCAGCAAGTTTCTTTGTAACATCAGTAAGTATTTCTTGCAAATAGAAGTTATTAATTTTTTCTCTTGACTGCATCTAAGGGTCATAAAATTATTGATATCAACATAAATTGGTTCTTTAATTAGAGTTTATAGACAACTAAAATTGTTGAAGATCAAACATAGCTACGTAATGTTACAGTTTTATTTGTACGTATAAATGAATATCGTGGATGGCAGCTGAAAATAACGAATTTGGACATTTTAGTTTTCCTGCATTTAGGCATTTGGCTACATTATGGTGATGGCGTTGCCTGGATTTAGCGAGTGGGGGCACAAAATTTGTACCACATCCGTCGCTAGCAAAATGGCCCTCAAAATTGCTTCTGCACTGGGAAAGTTTCGAAATATTAATCACAACATGAATAGGTTCAATTTTTTAGCTTCCCAGTTAAACCTTGGCGGATTTGTACATTCTTCGTGTTATAACGTTGCGTAGATTGATTATTGATTTTAATGAAATGTCTTCATATTATAATACTTCCAGAATTGCAGTGTTTCATGAGCCTTAATGTTAGTCATTTCTATATTTGTACGTTTGTGTCTACAAGTTTGAGTCTACGAGTATACTTTTCCACGATCTCATACAAGTTTTATGATTTGGTGTAATGTGGCTCATGACATGCATCACAGTATTATTATTCTTCCTTGCCTACTAGATATTTGAATTATTGTAGAATTATTGTTTTAATTTTTTCATTTTCAAGGAATTAAAGTCTTCACCACTTGGCTAACAACCCTGAAAGGGTAAATGCAACGCAAACTAGTCTACACAGCTAATAGAATGCTTCTCTTTACAAAAAAGTTGTGCGAGTTCAGTAAGAGCTACATTAATGCCATGTGCTTCTTTTTCAATTTCGAATGATCCATATGAAAACTCTTATCTAAAATTTAAATGGATGACACTTAAGAGGCACAGCCAATTTTTAGGGGGGTACGTGCCCCTTCCCTGGTCCCACTTTAGCGACGCCCCTGCATATTGGAATGAGGATGGAGATACTGAGTTATATCATCACTTAGGTAGGTGTTTAACAATTTGTCTAACGGACACACAAAGTTTGTGCAGGCAGTCTACTTGAATACAATGACTACTTAGTCAGCTCTACAATAAAAATACGTATGAAGCAGAGTGAATTTAGCGTTTGCATTTAAAAACAATTACTATTTATTATAAAAGATCTGATTATTTTCTAGAATTAATTGTAAAGAGCAACCATGAGAAATTTTTCAAGTGTTCTTCCTTTTCAATAAAAAAAGTCATGTAAAATATTTGCATGTCATGTAAGTCATGTTTTATAGAAAAAACAACCAATAATTCATCCTAGTTATGTAGAATGCAGATTGAGACTGTGTGCAGGCGAACATTTAAAAAACAAATTAATTACACGCTGTAAAATGTTATGGTAAATTCTGTTATTACCATTTTATAGTATTTTGCATGTAATCGACATGTAAATTTCATGTAAATGCCACAAAATGTACAATTTACTTATTGTGTTTATTTGCATGCATTTAAAGTATCTTTAAACATCCCTAACGCTTGAAATGTTTTGGAAAAGTTAGAAAATGACAAAAAAGCTCAAAAAATTTGTCTTACATTTACACCAACAAAACAGTACCACGTGTCTGTTTTTAACAAAAATATTGGGTGTGGCATAGCCTTATTGGAGAGAAGTGAAAGGACCCCCAGAAGTTTGAGTGACTGTCGGGCATTTGAGCTTAACTCCATGGGGTCGTTTGCATAGGCAATTTATGAAAAGATAAAAAGACGTCTAGTGAATTAGGTTATATGGAAGAGATGGAGCATGAAAGAAAAGGCTTAAGTAAAGGGCGTTAGCTCACTTGCAATCTACGTACACTACGCACACAGATTAAACTTAGCAATCGAGAAATCACTCTTAGATGTTGACCTATTGCAAATAAAGTACACTTCAATCTATTTACACGTTTTTGAAAGAAAGAAACCCTTTGTGGTCACATAACCTTTTTGGTGATGAGAATTGTAACAGCAACCAAAGCTTACACTTCAATCCCAATGGGAAACCAGGTGTTTGTGTCGTTACAAAGCCATCAATGCAGTTATTCGACAAGTAGAGATTATTAACAAAGCGTTGGTTCTATTAACAAAACATTAGAATTCAAAAACATCACTTTAAGCGAATTTTATAACTAGATTCTGCTTTAAAGTAAATGGTTTGAGCCCGGGAGCATCGTTACATGTTTGTAAATGTAGATCGTCCAGGTTGGTATAGTCCTGAGAAGGGCTGTTTTTGTTGTTGTTGACTTACGTTTTATACATTTACAAACATGTAACGATGCTCCCGGGCTCAAACCATTTACTTTATTACGATCATTTGGACGACAGAGCAAACAACTTGGTAACGACAACATACGTTTTGCAAGCGACGTCAGACGCATACGCCAACAACTCTGGTTCAACCACCGCTGCAAGGACGTAAAAACCAGATAACAAATACGGCTAACCTGACGTTTACTCCTCCATTGACTCTGAAGATGTCTACCACTAAGGTTGTCGAAACGCCAGCCAACAACAACAAAAACAGTCCTTCTCAGGACTATACCAACGTGAACGATCTACATTTACAAACATGTATAGATTCTGCTTTGTTTTTCTAAAATTAAATTGTGAAACGTCTCAAATATCCATATTTACAAAATAGCATTATGGATGTTATCAGTGTTTGTAAACAGCCCACAGAGCCTTTTTTGCTCTTCAATGTTGCCGTAACGACAAAAATTCTGATAGTGTGTGGCAAATGGCGGGAAACATAAAGTTATCAGAGACACAAAATTTTTATTCAAATATGCAACTGCACCAAGAATTCACTATCTTAGAAGACGCCTTTAAGCTTTGTTTGAGAATAATATAATAATAATAGTATGACAGATATTGCTTATCGTGCATTGAGTGAACACTTATTTTGTTCCTTTGGTGGACAAAGATATCTTGTTTACCATTGGTTACGTAGTGTTAAATGACAACCCAGCAGAATTTTTCCCAAACAAACCTTACCGAAGTTTACATTTTTTCTAACTATCCGTGATGTATGAGTCATAAGTGTTAATACATACACCAACAAAGCAGAACAAGAAACAAATGCAACTAAGAATGATAACGACCAATATGGCTTAAAAATCATCAATTTTGTGTCAATATTAATGAATTTTACGTTGATTTCAATTAAAATTTATCAAAGATAATTGTTTTCAGTTGATCATGCATACGATATTCTGCAAGAGATCCCAATAAGAAGTAAAAAAAATGTTGTTCTTCTTAAAGATAGTCAGGTCAGAAAAATTAAAATCATTCCTCATTTATGATATGCATAACTGATTCTGTGACGTATCATTATTTTGACACATCCTGTTGATTTTTACACCTGTTGTATGAATAAGATTTGAAATGAATACTTAATTAACTAAATCGTATTGCTAGTGATGATGCTGTAAAGTTCATTGTTTTCCAACGTTAAATTATCTAAAATTTATTTGTAATTGTTTAAAAACCCCCATCAAAATCAACAAATCCTAACACGGTTTTTAATATGCATATGAAAACATGTGACTTGGACGAGTCACATGTTTTCATGTGCATATTAAAAACCGTGTTAGGATTAATATATTATATATATACTCTGATAATGGCTTTGGAATAAAGTCGAAACACGGTGCCATCCAGTAAAACTGCTATAGTGGCAAAAATCTCTCGTCCATACGGAGTTTAAAAGAGATTTGACTCGTCTCCAATCCCTGTGGGCTTGGTAGCTCAACAGGTAGAGCGGCGGACTAGTATCCAAAGGTGCGAGTTCAAATCTCGTCCAAGTCACATGTTTTCATGTGCATATTAAAAACCGTAATATATTATAAAATCAACAAATGTTATTCATATCAAAAATGCCTTTCAACAAAGTCACAGAAAGAACACAAAAGTAAAGATCGTAATCTGTAGCAACTAATTGTTCCATAGTTACCTAACGCGAAATTTGCGAAATATAAAGATCTAGATAATAAACTTCCAACTCTCCTTCGATGTAAATATTCTGGTCCTATATTCACTATAATATTAATGGTTGTACGTTGACATACCATCTAAATTGACCAAAGATCTTAAAGATCTTGTTGACTGTTTTGGTTGACGATTCTTAATATGTTTAAAAGAAGATTTGTAACTTGTATTAGACTTAAGAAATAAATGAAAAAAGTAAAATGTTATACACGTCTTGATAAAAGCCATGTTAGAAAAAGTAAAATTATCGCACATATTGACATGCATACTTAACATTCTTTGACGTGTCATTATTTTGACTCATCTTGTCAATTTGTAGCTTCTGCATACATCTAATATTTAAAATAAACTTTTGGAATGTGTAGTTTATGTTAATGTGAGAAAGGTCAGTACTTTCCAATAGTAAAATGTTCATATTAAATTACCGTTTGTTTAAAAATTCCATTAAAATTGACAAGTGTTGTCCGTATAACACATGCATATAGTACTGAAATTATTAATATAAGTCATTTGTGACACATTACATAAAAACAAACCATTACAGGTAGAATTTAAAATCAACATACCTTCACAAATTAAGAAACATTAAAGACGACACATCCAACTACATGATGCCTTTGCTTCTGCTTGATAATAAAGAAATTGTTATGTTCACTAAATGTTCAATGTTAATCACCTGCTGATTTTATTGTAAGATATTGATTTTTGTTCATACCCAATAGAATATGAAATGCAAATTTTTTATTTTAGCTATGACTGAAGCAAACACAAAGAAGCTTTGACTTGGAAGCTTTATGCTAATAAACCTTTCACAGTTCACTATTATTTATTTCAATTAGTGAACATCCTGACTTAAATGCAAATTAACTAAAATAATCATAAAGGAAGACGTGGCAGTTAGCCTTTTACAAGTAAGATAGCTCAAAAGTTAAAGATTTATAATTTAGGAAGTTAAGGAAATTGAAAGACAGAGCTTCTCTGAAATTGTCAGCGTTCCAACTTTGTGGTCAATGAAGTTTTGTCATTTTGTAAACTTCTGACCCGGATAAACAAGTAATTTGATCAGGGGCGTGAGAAGCAATTATAAGTTGGTGGGCTGTAGATTTTAGCGGCCGTCTTTATTTAAAAAGGGAATTTCAGAGTAATTAATCTCAAGTCTCTAATTTTGTATAGTTTTGTCACATCTCAGTAATCAGAGATACTTCAAACTGGACTTGACAGTTTATCATGGAAAGTTTTGTCATTTTGTAAACTTTCGACGCAAACAAAAATTTTAAATAGTCTATCCTACAACAAGTTTAACAATTATAGACCAGAAAAAAATCACGTGTACAGTCAGGGGCGGATCTAGGATTTTTCAAACATCAGTCATAAAACGTCGGAGGCGCTCCGCACCTGGGGTCTGAGGCATTCTCCCCTGAGAAATTACCTTTTTCAGAATAATAATCTAACCAATGAAAAATGGTTTTGGTCATAGGCGTACAGATTCTTACATCTTTTACACAATTTTGAGTCAACTCTCATAAAAATTATGTCCACCAATTTTTCATTGGTTTTCTTATTACAATGTTTTGTTGTCCATTTTTATTGCTTTCATCACTTTTGTTGACTTCTTGACACACTCCCTTTTTTAGCAAGAAAAACTGTGTCAGGACTGTAGGATGATTGTTAATTTGGAGATCATATTATATATGCATAATATAGGCTACATGTGCTAAGTTCCTTTGAAAACCATTGTTGTCTAGGGATCATTACATCCAAATGTTTATGTCACCCCAACCACAGTATAGAGAATATACAGTAGGACCACTTTCTGTGCAACTTACTGCTGGATATATAATTATATTACTGGGTGTAGTTTGCCAGCTCAGTGCACCTATTGGTCAAAAAATGGTAGTGTCTGACTGCCACTATGGTAATCAATTGCGAAACAAGATATGTATGGCACAAAAATATTCAATGCAATCTACTGTATGTTCTCTATAAAATTGTACTATATGTTCCTATAACTGTGCCCCAATTACATTAAGTCTTCCTTAGTTCGTAAGTCGTGAATGAAGTAGTAGTCCAAATAATTTACACCTGCTCATTTTTTTTCTCATAATAGCTTCTAAACAATGATAGTGGTTATGAATTTTTAAAGAATAAATTTTCAGTGGTGTAGCTAGAGTGATAAAATGTTTAGTCTTTCTATGTACGTTTTTATATTCTTTTACTGTGAAAATAATAGACATTTTACCTTTTAAGTCTTAAAGTGTCCCTTCCACCAAAAAATATTTCATCAATATCAAATCTGTCGATGATTTTAAGCCTCGTCATGGCCTACTCAAATTACACGGCCTGATATCTTGCCATAGCAAGGCCAAAAATGCAAGGCCATTGAATTTTCCGGCGGTGCTCTTCGAAATTTTGATCTTCTTCCTTCAAAATTGTTCATTGACCTTACTTTATGGTATAATCTTGTAGCTAGAAGTCTAGCGATCGTTTCATGAGTTTATTGGCTGAAATTGGTTCATTTTTCGCCGAGAAATCATAGTTTATAAATTGGTGCGATCGGCGGTTGTTTTGTTTACGCGCTCGTCTTCGTTCGAAGATTTTAGCTCTTAAATCTATCGTGGATTATCTATATTTGGTATCTACGTGTTCTGGTACTCTCCTCTACATTTCTACAAGATTTTTGGAGTCGAATTGTATATATTTTTTCTTTTATTTACGAAAATCGTCAAACCCAGAATTATAGCGATGGTGCTTCCTATTTTCAACGGCGTTCTTCCTACTCCAACTACGCATAAATTGGAAATCTTGGTATCGGTTCTTCTCCATCCTGGGACATCAATATAAACAATAAATCGATCAAACTTAAAATAGAATGCTATGTTGAAAAGAACAATAACAGTTCTCATGAATTCCCTAAATCTCTACTTAACATACTATCAGCCTACAACCTTGTACAACCTACCTGGTCCTCCTCCTTTGCTGAAGAGAAACTTGTAAAAAACGCTGAACACGTCATTTTCAAGGCTCTGAATTTCAGAGCCTTGAAAATGACGTGTTCAGCGTTTTAGAGCAATAAAAAATGTGTTTTGCGGGCATCGTTTTTGCGTAAAAAAAACACATATTGCTTACGTTGTTTTCAAAAAAAATGAAGTGAACAATACTTCAATGTTTTGCCAAATATTTAGGCTCATTATCATACCAAATATATGGCTCATTAGCATGTCTAGGAACGTAAAATTTATTTTACAATAATGCTATTCAAAAACAGATATAGTCTTTAAAAATTTCTACCAAGTTGTCAGGCATAGACCCCCCTAAAGACCCCCATTTAAACCTCTATGTATTGAGTTAAGTTAGAAATTTGGTACTACAAGTGACAGTTCATAGATATAGAAAAGCTCAGACTTCAAACCATGCAAGTTTATTGTAACCCTTTACCCATCTCCACATCAGTGCCAGCAAATTCACCTTTTGAGAAAAAACTCAAAATTTTTTTCTGCCAAAGATTAAGCAAAAATTATCAGAGTGAAAATTTGCAGTTAAGGACAGCTTAATGCCATAAATGTTTATTAGGCATTTCACTAAACTATTGTCTCCTGTAAGTATATGCAATGTGTGCTATATAGCAATCACTAGTAGCATTGCATTTGCAAATACAAACAGAATGTAACCAACATGTCTTTAATTACATAATTACATGAATGTTAAAATTGGTTCATGTGTCATGCTTACTGGTTATGATAAATATCTTTTCATATGATCAAAGCTCGTTTAAACGTAAATCTGAAATAATTTAGTTTAGAAATTATAATGATCATCAGAAAAATTACTTAGTGATCTTGAAAAATACTTTGCTGTTTTGCCAAATTTCAAGGTTTATCTACATACATAGAAAGGCATTTTTACTTTATAGAAAATGCTTTTCATACATCAATAGCCCTTTGGAATTTATGGCAAACAATCTGGTATGAGCCGTAGATTGACAGACCTTTACATCTATACATGAGGTGTTCAGTTAGAAAAGGGGACAATATAATAAAGTAAATAATAGTATGGCGCCTAATGGCTAAAGATTTTTTGTTCATTGAAATATATTTGCAGGAATGTAGGATTTCGCTGCCATATAACGGCCACGATTCCCCAAGCACTAAAGAAATCATAGCCAAAAGTCCTCCGGCAACAACAATTTTAAAAGCATCAATCTGTTTACCATACGCCATATTAACATAAATCGCATCACACACTCGCATAAATTGTCTTTGATATATTACATTCATGCATACACTTCACTTGTCCTTTACATACGATTTTGGATGTAAATTTCTGCTGATAAAACTCAAAACAATGTTGGCTTTCTTTTGAACATCAATGACTGAAATGTCGCTCGCGAGATCGTCTTTGCCAAGCAATTACATATTATCCATAAATTTTTCACCCTCTTGAAAAAATTCACAGTTTGGACAGCAGCATTCATGTCAATATATGAATTTGTAAAAGATTTCCATAAATTCCATCTGCTTGTAGTTTAGTTTCTATCATGCTTATAAAAATTACTATAAAACGATCAAACATTCAATTTAGACAGTGAGCTTGACTATGTTAGTTCAGTTGGCTATCAATCGAAATCCGTGAAACCAATCACAATAAAACAAAAATTCAAATGAACCACTTGTAAGATAGCAATTGGACTCCCTTATACGTCCGGCCACCCCTATTATCAGTCGAGACCATTCCAGACTGTCCACTGATCTGGCCATTGACCAATAAAATAAGCGTTTTTGGCGTTGATAGACTCCTTTATCCGTCAAACCAGTCAAGCCACCCCGCTTATCAGTCGGTTATTCCAGGTCAATTAAAATTCAACTGATCTGGTTACCAACGAGATATTCATTGGATTAGTCATTAGTTTTCAATAATAAATTAAGCTGGATTTTTATAACGAAGTAAATGCGATAATAAAGTAAGAATAATTAATGAATTTTTAATTAATATGAATAGGTAATTTTTGAATTTCAAACATCAGACGCGCGACGGATTTAACGTACTCCAGATCCGCCCCTGATTCACAGTCTCGAAACTCGTGTCTTAATCATTGGTATTCAAATCCCGTTTTAAATATGTGATTCTCTATTCCTGAGTTGAAACTTGTGAAACTTATAAGATTTAGCATTAGTTCTTTGGAATTTGACTAATCTCAATGTTATTATGTACTCTGCATGAGGTTCTTATTTATGTATTTTTATTTTTATAACAATTGTTTTTAGTCAATGATGTATACTTAGTTATATAACTAGAATGTTCTATATAGATGTCATCAATGTTTTATTAGACTGTTTGTTGAAGGAGATCCTGACTCACTCTTCATTTTCGTTCGCTATTTAAATGTGTTTATGTAACAAAACTTACATGGATGAAAGATTGATGTAACAATAAGGTATGAATTATGATCACCATTTTTTAACTAATATGTATGTGGTCGCGTTGTTTATATTAAATCTCTCATCCGTTTGTTTAGTATGTGACATGTTAAGAACTAAAGCAGGCATAATTCTGTTCACACGGTTGTCTTACTTCTAAAACGAAGGTAATTTTAGAAAAATTAAGCAATATTTTAGAACTACATTACCGACATAAC